TATATTTAATATTTATATGGGTGTGATGAGTGACAGATGAAGGAAAGAGAGCCGGGAACACGCAAAGAAAAGGGCCGAGCCGTGTCGTGTGTTGCCGGTTCCCCTTGCTTGCCCTCCTTCCCTCTGCTTCGTACCACTGCGTGCCGGGGGAGACAGATGGCGAGCGAGACGAAGAGGAGGCAAAGGGGGATTGGTGTGAGGGCAGCAGGCCGGCCATGGAGCAGGCAAGCAATAACTCCACGGAGTTGTGCAGCAGCAGCGGCAGCGGTGTGAGATGCCTTCTTGTCTCTCCCGCTCTCTTCGTTTCCGTCTCGGACTCTTTCTGAGAGACCGACAAACAACAAACAAACCTTAACGTTTTAGCGGACCTTTGCGTGCCTCATCCGGCAGAGCCCCTGCGGACAGCGGGGGGCGCAGCACTGCCACCGCGGCGACGGCTGTGGCCCTTGGCGCCACCACCACCACCACTATGGTGTTTGGCGCGTTGCACCAAATGCAACGCCCGCTCCATGCGCTGCAGACCAGCAGCGCTCATCGCAATCCCACCAGCGCCGCCACCGAGAAGGTCACCGGCATCACCCGCGAGCTCAACACACACAACAGAGCGGGCCAAGAGCACCCGTAATGTTCCTGCGAGCATGCCATCCGACTGCCGCCGGTGCTCGTTGCCGTGACCGCGGTGCCACTTCGGGTCCACCTCCTGCAGCATCTCCACCATCATCGACAGCGTCTTCGGACCCTGCTGTGGGGCAAGGCGTCGCATTGAGACGTGAATGATCTTCCGCAGTGCAAAGCGAATGTGAAGCATGACAACACCAAAGTGCATTGGCTCCTCAATCTGGAGTGAGGCATCGGGGTGCCCTGCTGTTGGTGCGCTGATTGAAGATGTCTCCACGTCTGTGTCCTTACGCGCCGCAACAGTTGGGGCTGCGCTTCGAAATGTCGCAACACGCTCATGCCGCGCATCATCCGCAGCGCGTAACATAGCTGTTGCCTTCTTGTGCTCCTCCGCCGTCAACTGCCGCATCGCCGCAAAGTGCATCGCCGTTTCCATCACCTCCGCCAGCGTAAGGTTGAGAGAAGCAAGGGCGCTCTTGTGCGTTCGCGTTGCGGTCTCGTCCGCCTGATCGGCCTTGAAGCGGTTCAAGGCCTCCACCTCGTCATGCTCCTCGTCGCCAACAGCAGCAGCAGCAGCAGCAGCGGACAGGGCATCCACAACAGCTGCCTCTGCTTCTCCATCTGCCGCTGTTACTCCACCACCATTCGCCACCAAGGGGCTTTCGAGCACCACGTCGGTGCTGGAGAGGCCCAAACTCAGCCGTCCCTTCACAGATCCCTCACCAGCTGCTGCTCCGGCCCTGGTTCCTGGAACACCAGCAGCACAAGCCCCAGCAGGTGCGGGATTGCTACCGCCGCTCTTCCTGGCGATCGCAAGTCGTGAGAAACGGTCTGCTGTGGGTGGCTGACCAAACACGTCTGGACGAAGACTCATAGCGCGGTACAGGACGGTCGCCAGCGTGTTCTTGCTGACACACGCATCCTCGCGGCATATAGAGGCAAGGAAGGGAATGAGCACTTCGTTTGGCACAGAACCCGCGGCTCCTTGTTGAACAGAGGCAACCGTCGGTGGGGCAAGTGCGTCGCAAAAGCTATCCCGCTCCAGAATCTGTGCACACAACTCTTCACAGAAGAGACGCAGTGCTGCGTTGCGTACGTACGTGCTGGATAGTATGCTGGTCGTCGCCTCCATCAGCGGTGCCAAGTGTGCATCCGGGCGACGCAAGTAAAAATGGAGTGAGGCCACCACTTGTGCCAATGTAAGACTCAGTGCATTGCGTATGTGCTGCGACAGCACGTCGTTGAAGAAGGAGGGCGACAACACACAAAGGAGGGTGGGGGAACGGACAAACAACTCCGGTCGCTTGACGCGCCACGCCTCCAAGACCACCATGTTGACTGACGGCACGTCAGAAGAGGAGCCACGCTTCTTGCTACTGCCTGTAATGGCAGCAGCACCGCTCTGCGATGCTGTCGGAATAATTTCGCATGAGAAACTGCTAATGATGCGGTGCACAACGCGGCGGGCGAGCGAGAATCCCGGCGGCGCCTCACGCAGGAGAATGCGCGTCGTGTCCTGCACGGTAACGGCAACCATCAGGCGCAGCTCGTCCGCGTAAAGCAGCGCGTCTCGCACGCGGTCATGGCCGCTGTCGGCCGCCATAGCGATGCTTGTCGCGCGGTGCGTGACGAAGTCGGTGTGGCGCATCAGCGCCCAGCTGACGTTGAGGTAATGGAGGAGAATACTCTCCAGCAGATTTGCATTGACGCTGTCGGCGTCGGTCTGCCGCGTGTCGGCCCGCATGCGCCGCTCCGCCAGTCGCGCCTCAGCCTGTTCGCTGCGCATCGCCCACCACGCGGTCGTTTCCGCACCGTCCTCGTCGAAGCCGTGACGGTTGCTCCGCGCAACATCGCCGCTGTCATTGCTGCTGCCACCGAACATGCGGAAGTGGTGGCAGACATGCGCAGTGAGGGATAGGACGTGCAGGTACAAGCATGACGACCGCACGTACTCAAAGACGCCTTCCTCGGCGGAGCGCGCCAGCAGCGTCGCATCACCGACGCAGTCAAGAGCCGCTGCGAAGGCCTTTCGGTCCTGAGGGCCGAGAAACCAGCCAGCAGCAGCAGCAGCGTGCACGGAGTCCAGTGGGAGGCGCCGTCGCTGATACACGCGCGGTGACTGCTGATTCGCCGGCTGCAGGAACTGCATCACATTCGCCACGTCTCCCGAATTGCGGCGCCGCAGAAGAACATGCTGCCGCGCCACGTACGTCGCAGTGACCCTCGCAAGGTTCTCCAGTTCCGGCTCCCCGCGCGGGCCACGCGGGAGGTCTGCCAGCATCGTAAGCAGGACATCCAGCGGCACACGCTGCTGCAGCAGCGATTCACGCGGGGCTTGTTGTTGTTGTTGTTGCTGTTGTTTCTTCGCTCGCGACTTGCCTTCGCCCTTGCGCCCTGCGACGAGGCCGCTGACGTCATCGTGACAAGGCAGGTCCACGTCGTACGGGATTGGTGCGGCATCGCGCTGCGCAAGTTGCGCCATGGTGTTCTCCTGCAGCGAGAAGAGTGATATGGGACCCGTAGCGTCGCCGGCGTCCTTGTCTGCAAGCTCCAAGAGTGAGCGGCGCTGCCGTACCAGCTGTAGGAGTTCGCGCTGCTGCTGCTCGAAGTGGGCACCGTCGGGGTCGAGGAACTCCGCCTTCCACTTCGCGGCGAGCTGCGCCCACAGAGCGCGGCACTTCTCCAGCGGCACCAGCGTCCGCCGGCGTGAAAACAAGTCAAGGCTACTAAATACAAACTCCGCGCACGGGAACGCCACGATCTCCGCCAGTGTGCAGCGGGTGAAGATCGCCACGACGCAGTCGAAGTGGGTCGTGATAACTTTGGCGGTTTGCGGGATCGCAAGTGCGGTGTCGATGTTCACCACTGCACTGGAGGACATCTGTACTCGACGGCACTGGCGGATCAGCGCCTCAATGGCCTCCGAGTTGGTGAGATTCTCCACCTCCTCCTCCAGCAGCACGGCAGCATCCATCTCCATGAAGGCGGCAGTGTGTGGCTCTGCTATTGCTACTGTGGTGCCGGCACCTAAGCCGGGCGGCTGTTGTTCCTCACCGTCATCCAACGCCGCGTCGCGTGTGTGGGTGGCGTACAACAATGACGGATCCTCCGTTACGCGGTTCACTACTTCTGCAGCATCCTCGCAGGCCCACGCCACCACGTAGTCGGCGGGGCGGCGCTGCGCCTTTCGCATGGAAACGGACTCTGTCATCTCCCTCTCCAAGTCATGGAAGGACTCCAGCAGCAGCCGCAGCTCCTCCTTCGACGGCACACGCAGCGACACGACATTCACAGTCGCCGCAGACTTTCCTCGTCTGCCTCGCGGCTCTTGGGTCTGCAGTATCTCCTCGCACAGTGTGCGCCATGCTCGTTGCACAAGAAGACCTGCCGGCTGGTACTTCGCCGACGCCGCTGCGAAGGCGCGCAGGGCCGTGATGAGTGCCGTGAGGTCTGTGCGCTGCCGTACGCCAAGGCCGAGGCGTATCGCAAGCCGGTGCGACACCTGCGCGTCACTGTAGATGTATTGCACGCTCTCCGTCAGCGTCTCGAGGAGAGGGGTCGTACTGCTGCTGCTGCTGCTGCTGTTGTTGGTTTTTTTCTTGCTTTTAGGCGTGCTGCACTCCTCCAGGAGCTCTTCGATCGTGCCGAGGAGGACATCTGTGCTGCGACGGAGATTGCCGGTGAAGCACACACGCGTGTAGTCGGCCGCCACCACTTTGCCAAGCAGAGACGCGACGCACAGACTCACCCACAACATATGCGCCCGCTCGGCGCGGTAGCGCTCGCGCAACGTCGCAGGCACCTGCAGCACCGCCCGTATACAGCCCTGCAGCACCCGAATCAGTGTGTGCAGCGCGAGCACGAGAACCTCACGGAGCTCGTCGTCGAGGGCATCCTGCTGCAGCGCACACCACCGGATCGCATCGAGCACGTTGTCAAAGCAGGCCACCAAACAATCAAGAAAAACACGCAGTCTTCGCTTTTCCTCTGGAAGGTGTACCTCCGCCGCTGACATGAAGTAGGCACCCTCCTCTAGTCCTCCATCGCTCTCCATCCGTTCTTTCCCGTCATCCTCCCCTCGGGCATCAGACGCGTCTCCTTCCGTGCGGTGCGGCTGCGGTCCACGGTACCGCACCGACGTCCGCTGCACGAGCACCACTGCCTGCTTTACGGCGAAGAACATTGTGCGGTACTCGCCGCGGGAGGCATGGCGCAGCAGCCCCTGCAACGGTGTGCCACGATCAAAACCGAGCAACGTGACCGGTGATTCCGACATTATGTCAGATAGACAGAGAATACTTTTTAACATGTTGTGTGGCAGCTGTGGCGTCGTTGGGAGTGATAGAGCACGTAGCTGCGAGAGAATGGCCGTTGTCGCCACATCTCCTACCGATGTGGTGGTGGCAACTTGGTGCTTGCGCTGAATCTTTAGCGCTGTCTCGGCGAGATTAAACGCCCACGTCACCATTGTCCAGCTCCCCGCGCTGCTGAGGTAGCCCATGTAGTCAAGCAGCACGAGTGGTGCGGTTCCCACGCGGGCAAGCGAGGACATGGCACTCTTGCGCTGCTCGCTACTTGCTGTGGTCGACGTCGAGGCCTCGAGTGGGGTGCGCGAGAGGCGCTCCTGCTCACGCAAGTAGTGCTCGATAAATCGGACTAAGTAACCCAGAACGTGTGCGCTGATGGATGTGTTCGCCATGAAGCCGAAACACCGCACAGACTCGTCTACCAGCTGCTTGTATTCACTCGACGAGGAAGAGACGCGCGACACACCCCGCAGATAGTGCTGCAGGGCCGCCATGGAGCTTCCCTCGCGCCCGCCGTACAGAGGCTGCACCCGTGAGAAGGGGAGGAGGCGGTTACTCAAGTCCAGCACCTGCAGATACGAGCGGCGGTTGCCCCGCGCCAGCAGGAAGGCGACCGTCGCGCTGCTGCTTGCTGTGTCGAGCGGGGGCTCCACGACGGGCAGCTCTGCGGCCGGCATGCCGTACCCACTTGCCCGCTTCCCGCCGCCGCGCGGCACGTGCCGGAGACAGTACACCGCCACGCGGATGAGGAGGTCATTGTCGTCCGTGCGCAGGACTGCCGTCAGTTTGATGTTTGACCAGGAGGCGAATCGCGACAGCTCGGCGAGAACAAAGAGCGCCGACTCACACGTAGCGGCGTGGGTCTCGGCATCATCCTCGTCTGCGCTTTTGGCGAGACTCGCCAATACCGCAGAGAGATTCGTCTTTAAGAGCGTCTTGTCGCCAAACTGCATGAGCTCCTTCTGCGGCGTCCCTAGGCGGAGGTGCACCTCGAAGAGGGCGTCGATAAAGCTGGCGTACCCACACATAAGTAACAACTCCTCGTCCGCGGTGAGTGCGGCAAGGAGAGACGAAAACGTGCTGCACGCCCACTCCAGCAGCCCCTTGGCTTCCTCCTCCGACAACTTCCCTGAGCCCCCTGAACCAGCAACAACATGCCCACCATCGGCATTATTATTATTATTATTGTTGTTAATACCACCACCAGCACCACCCTTCAACAGATATGCTGCAGCGCGAAGATTGGCGAGAACCAGCGCACCTGCCCACTGCTTTGCCATGGGTGAAAGGCATAGTGAGTGTCCTGTTGGCTCCGCTGCTGCAGAGAGACAACTGAACACGACAGCAGTGGACTGCTTCAACCAGTCAGTGTCATCTTGCTGACGCACACGCTGCACCAACAAGTTCATGAGGCTTCGTTCCAACGCGACAGAAGGGCGGGGCCCACGCGGGAGCAGAAATGGCGCCCCGCTACGCATCCACCAGTTGCTCGCGAGTGCATCGGCGTAGAAGCGGTTCTGCAGAAGAGTTCCCTGTGTCCCTGCGACGATGATGGCGCCCACCGAACGCCGTATGTTCCCATCACGCACGTAAACCGGGTCCGCCAACTCGTACACACGGTGTACCGCAGAAGCCAATGTATCGGCGAGATGCCGCAGGCTCGCCGCAACAAACGGCGGCAACATCAGCCGTGACATATCGCGGTGGGTCGTCACGCACGCCCGGCCCACATCTGGCCGCACATCTACCTGCTTCGACGCGCACCCCTGCAGCACATGGCGGTGCGCTTCCAGAAGCACCAGCCACATACCCTCCAGGGCACAGCCGCGGTGAAATATATCCACAGCGTACAGATTGGCAAGCTGCGAGACGGCATCCTTCGATGCGGCGATGACATCGAACAAGGGGCTGTTCGCCTCCACGCCCATCGTCTCTAGAGCAGCAGATGCGGAACCGGTGTCACCACCAGCTCCCCACACGCGCCGTGAGGAGAAGCGAGACGACTTGCGCGAGGCATCAGCGGCACTGGGCAGCAGCACACCATTTTCATCACCCTTCTTGAACATCGAGCGGCCCCCACGTGGCCGTCGAGGCTGCGCGTCATTGTCTTCAGACATCTCTTCACCACCTGCGTCACCCGTGGCGTGAGACACTGCGAGTGCCGCCCTCCGCTCTTCAAACGCCTTGGTGTCAAAGTACAACATCGCACTGAGTAGATTGATCAGCTCTGCTTGCATCGTTTCGAGGGGGCTACTACTACCACGACCACTACTACTACTACTAGATTGTCTCCTCTCAAGTTGCGCTGTCGTGTCGAGGAGAGACTCAAGCAGCACTGGAACCAATTGCAGCCACCAGAAGGCACCACGAATGCCGTGCAGGGGCACAGACGTTTGCTGCTGCAGCCAGCATTGACGTATGGCCCGCACAACCGCAACATTAGGAGAGCTACCGCTCCCCGCAGCGGCACCATTAGACAATGCGGATAAACAAGTAGGAATCACTTTGAAGTACGCCCCACAAAACGAGAGCAGCGCATTCGCCAAATCCCCTTTGTAGGCACGAGGTCGCCCACCGTCCCGCTCCAAACTGCAGCAATGATGGAATGCCTTGATGACAAGGGCCTCAAGGCTCTCTAGTGGCTCCACATGCCCATCCGGGTGCCGAACTCTGTACACGCGATCCTCCAACTCACACACCATACAACCTACAATTTCAGCCAGTGGACTTCGTATCTTCTCTTGCTCCTCTGCCCCATTCATCACCGCACCGCCATCGCCTTCTGTAGCGACGAGCGGCGACGACTCCCCCTTGGCTTGCAGCAGCAAGCCCTCAATCACGCGGTAGAGCATCGCTAAACGCCAGAGCGTGTTAGGCAGTGTGTCATCCACGATGCTACGCGACTCCTTCTCAACCTCCTTGTGGCGCCTTCGCCGCCCATGCGCAGTGTCCGACTCGGCGGGCACAGACAACGCCTCCAACTTGTCCACAAACGCCCGCACAACGCCGCGTCGCATTTCTTCGTTCTCGCACCGCCGCCCTGCCCGCTCAAACGCAGCAGCTGCACAGGTTAGAAGGCCGTGCCACTCCTGAAGCTCCCCCCACAGCCGTGCCTGGCGGCCCAGCGGCGCCACAACCGCCTCCGCGGCCATCAACGGCAGCGACACCACAGACGCTGCGTCGCTTGACAAGAAGTCGGCAACAGCCGCCCCCTTCCGGCTCTTCAGCGCCACAGCCAACAGCTCGCAGAGGAGCGTCATGCCCTCGTCGGGTGTCGGCGCAGGCGACGCACCGACGGAGTGGCCGCCTTCTCGCCGCCCCTTCTGCGAGGACCGACGTGTCGCACTCCACTCCAATCTGAATAGTCCTGCGGTGTCCTTGTCAACAAGGCGCGGCTGCGGTGCGGCCGGCATGTTCGCCGCGCCGGCGAGTAGCGACTCCTTTGCTCGCCAAACAAGTCGCTGCAGCAGCCGCGCTGTGTCCCGCTGCCCCTCACCGCCGCTTCCACCACCACCACCTCCTCCCACGGCGGTGTTCATGCGCCGCACAGCCACCATAACAGGAGCGCATGCGTGTGAGGTTGTGTCTGCCGCTGCTTGTCTAAGGCGGCCCACTGCGCGGGAAGCTGACCACATCCACGCAGTTTCTTGCTGCCCGTTCTTCTTTCTTTCTTTCCCTTTCTCGCACTGGAGCGAGGATCTACTAACGGCCCTCACCGCACGCCACCTCCCAGTCGTGCTGCATAATGCAGTGGCGGCGAAGAGAAAAGAAACACAGAGAGAAACCCGAATCCCCCCCCCNAAAAAAAAAAAAAAAAAAAAAAGTAAAGAAAGAAAGAAGAAAGAAGCTCGACACGGCCATCTCACCCCGCGTTATAAAAGAGAATGTGATTTTTTCTTTTCATACCTTCGTTTGTAGTGAGGGCCCTTCTCCCCCCAAGGGGGAGGGGGGGCCCCACAGCGTAGTTATTATCCAGCATTCATTAGTGATTTGTATTTGTTTTTATACGACAAAAGTTTTTTTTTCTTTTTTTTTGTTTTGTTTCCCCCTCTCGTGCTATTTTATTTCGCTTCTTGCTTTGCCCCATCGCGGGTGTACATGCGCGTTCACACAGACACACTCTGTCTTTCTCTCCTTCGCTTGCGCCGTCTCTCTCCGCACGTCTCGGACGCATCACGACGCGAAGTTGCGCTCCAGCACATCGCGCAGCACCGCAGCGTCCGGCATCACCTTCACACACGCCGTCCCCACCTTCGGCCGCTCGCCCACCATGATGGCGGAGCTAATCGACTGCAGTTCGTCGCTCAGCCCGCGGCTCACCGCTGTGTGCAGCCAGCGCTTCGACGACGCGAAGGTCATCTGGAAGAGCGGGCTCGCACTCTGTGAAATAACACCGGTGAAGTTGAAGTTCTCCCACATGCCGCGGTGCGTGGCGGCGTCGGCGATGAGCGTCATATGGCGGTGGTCGACGGAGTACCGTTTGAACAGCTTCGACAGCTCGTCGTAGAGGGAGCGGTACGCCGACTCGACTCCGAACCAGTTCGCCATGTCGCGGATGTCGGTGGAGCGGGCCTCACGCACTCTGATCGCCCGTGTGCCCACCGTGAATAGGGAAAGGAACGACAGCACGTGCCGCATCTTCGCATTGGCGCCCTGAAAGACAAGCTCGCCACTCGACGCGTCGTCGGCCTGCCGCGTGAAGGTGACGGAGGCGAACTGTGGCAGCCACGTCGACAGCGTCTGCTGCTCCAGCGCGGCGTCCACAACGTCAGGAATGACGGCGATGATGTGCGGTGGCATGCGCACAACGACGTTCACCACGAACAGGCCGTCCGGGAGCGGCACAACGCCGTCGCGCTCAGCAGCCGTAGCGCTGAGGGGCGCCACATCGATGGCGAATGCCTTCCCGCCAAAGGTGGCGCGCAGCGGAGCAAAACTGCGGTAGCTGGTGGTGTGGTGCCGCATTGCAGCACCACTCGCCTCTGTCTCCCCTTCCGCATCATCGCCGTCCTCGTCGTCATCTTCCTCATTGTCCTTCTCGCCCCGTTTGCGAGCGCCTCCCCTCCGTGCTGATGCAGCGGCTTGTCCTTCCTCCTCCTCATTCTCCTCTTCATTGCCATCTGCATCACCGTTCTCCTCGTCCTCGTCGTCGGACACCTGGTCAGCCCCGCTTCGCAAACTTCGAAGGGCGGGTGACGCTCCACTTCGGACCTTGTTGTCACCGTTCCTGCTGCTACTGCTGCTTTCGCTGCCGTCAACTTCATCATCGTTGTCGCTGTCGCTGTCGC